TTGTTTCTCTCCGCATAAACACCTAGTTAACAGCACAATTAGCATAAGCAGCATTGATACGTGGCCATTTACTAGGCATTGCCTGGATGGCTTGGTTGAAGATTAATTGCGGCTGTTAATGTGAGGTTTTGAGGAGGCCCCTTCCGAGATGATCGTGGTTACTTAGTATTTTCTACCATCGATGCTGGTAAGAATAGGGAGCTGATGTAGTATGCTACAACCCCGTTATTCTGCGATGTGACAAGCCCTTCTTTCTCAAAAGGGCGGTTTTCACTAGCGTTATCCTCGAAAAGAGCGACAATGGTGGTTTGACGAAGCTTATTCCGTATAGCTGCGGCCAGTTTCCAGAGTATCTCACTTGGGTATCGATCCTGAGTGTTTGCGCGTTTGTGCTAACTTTTTCAGAACACTACGCCTTGCCATTCCAGAGAAGAAGGCATAGTCTTCAGAAAAGACATCTCCTCGAAAACTTTTATATGGTTGGTGGGTTGCGTTGCGGTGAAGTCCAGTGTATTGCATTTTGCTCTCACCATGAATCTAGATCTCATGGTTACTGATGAACAACTCAAGAAAGTCCTGCCTGTACAGCCAGACGAAACCCTTCTGCGAACAGCCAGCAGTGCTGCTGAGATGCGTGCTTGTAGTGTACATGTGCCCTTCGCGGCATCACATTTGTGGGGTTGATATTACTGGAGTGGAGCTTGATTAGATCCCACGTGATGGTAGCATCTGGATGCACTCGAAACTTACGGAGCAAATGACCTTCATCCACCGTGACTGGAGACTTACAGCGAAGTGGTTTCCGTCAGCCACTGTTGACAGGACATTTGAGCTATTGCCTCACTATCCGATTCGTAGCAGTACTTGGCCCCAGAATAGCGCTAACCTTCTTGGACCTCTCTCCTGCACTTGCTCGGAATAGTATTTGTAGATCGTAATCAGGGAAAGAGGTATTGGGGCTACGTGGCAATTAGAACTTTTGCTGTGGTCCCTGAGCGCAGGGAAATAGAGGACTGGGGGTGCTTAAGCATTGAACTTTAAGTAGTCGTGGAGCGGGAGATGAGCTTTTCGAAGGGAGGCGACCCGCAGTGAATGAGCCACTATCATGTGGGAAAAGTTTAGGGTTGCAGCAGGTCATGCAACGCCGTGCGGACGAGATAATACGAGGAAACAGAAAGCACGCGCGGTTGAAGCAATAGAGTTCAGTTGCCCGTAGACCGGTGTTGATCAGAAATCGACTCAGCGGTTGGACAAATTCAGGCCCTGAACACTCTCTAAAGGCAATTTTGCGCCAAAAATGGTTATGATTGCCTTCAATGATCACGTTATGATTATGGTTTGGTTAGATCATGGTTTGGTGCTCTGGGGCCGGTCTTACCTCTCATAGCTTCCCAAGCCCTGACGAAAGGATTACAGCCACGGCTTTTTTGCTAAAAATCGGAAACCCATAAGAAACGTCAACGTCTATGCCCATGGTCAACGAAAAGTGCGGATTCTTCTCCAATGTCATTACAATTTCGCTCACATGTTACACAACAGATTCCGCAGAAATCGAACGAACATGGTTGTGAGGCGCTACCTTTTCCATTCCAATCATTAGAAACCCTTTTTTTTAGGATCTGGATGAACACTGGCAAAAACGCTTCACATCATGGCAGAGCCATCAAACTGGCCTTCAACACTTTCCTTGGTCTCGGGGCTCCAGCATAGGGCGAATATCAAAAAGCCTTGATGTGCCGTTTGGGCTGCTCGCCCCAGAAACTAGGTTGGTTGCTAGTGGCATATATTCGATTTAATGAAAATGACGTTTTAAAGCTTTGGATAAATATGTTACTCTATATTTGAGGAAATACCACCTAATCTTTATTTTTCTTCACCAGTCACACCGTAATGGTTGGACTCTCAGCCATTCATCTGCAAGTTCTATTTTCGGAACTCCTAGTTGAAACATATCCCGTCTCCCCAACTTATCAGAGATGTTCGGACCATTGCCGAACATTGAAAAAAAGGATGTGAAATTGGGCAGAAACCGGACAAGATTTATAGGGCACCCCTATTTTTATCACTTGATGGCATAGCACTTCTCATTTGGCTTTGGATTAATTTATTCCAAGTGCAACATCTCAAAATATTGGCTGTAATTTTGTCTGGGTTATTTGGGCTCAGATCTCGGTTATGACATTGCTTTTCGTGTAGCAGTCTTTGGCATCATTAGGCGAAACCCACCTGTGGCACGAATAGTGCTTTTTCTCACCTTTTACCGGCCAGCTTCTCACCATCTGCGTTCTCCTAGGACTGATCCCAGTGCATATCATTTGTCCCGAGTCGCACCATCGCCCTGTTCAAATTGACATAATTAGGAATATTTTCAGATAGGCGAACTAGAAGTTCTGCAACTGGTAATTACCTTCAGCGGTAGGGATTTAATGCGTGTACCACTTGTGCACTACAGAGCATGGCAAGCGGATATCCCTGTACCAGATCTCGGAGAATTCAGGCAAAATGTAATTCACTCCGTGAAATTATTATTAAAAACACGATTCACAAATGGCTTTAAGGTGAAGGAAATTGAAGCAAAGCTGGGAAGGAAAGGCTGCACAATATTAGTCTGCCCTAGTGGAGCCACAAGATGTGGCACGTACGCAGCCGTTGATGTTATTCTCAGCAGGATATCGACAGAGAGAAGGGTATTTCTTTTCTCACTAGCTAACTATTTTTTAGGCATACTTCCAGTCCAAGGTTGATTTTTTGATGGTGTTCTCGCAAAATGTTGTCCCTTGCTGGGTCTCGAAGTGAGTGGTCTGAAATGAAGCCTCTGGATGACAGCTTCCCCAGTCAGCACCATTTTAAGTGTCAGTAGAAGTGGCACATAGAAAGACCTGTTGGCAGCCTGCCGTCGTGTCTCGGTGCAATAGTTCAGAGCGATGTGAGCGCAGAAATGAATTTGGTGTATGCAGAAAGAAGGCGGAAGCGTTTTGGTTCATTACGACGAGATAGAGAGAGAGAGAGAGAGAAGGTTGAACACGCACAAGGACTGGGGTATAGATGATGAATTCTTGCCAGTGACTGATCAGTTTTTCCTGTCTCCTCAGCTTATAGAATGTTTAAGATGAGAGCTGCGCAAGGAAGGTCGCCCTTGAAAAGGGTGTACATCATTACTGCAGTGTCGCGACATCGTGCGCGAAGTGGCAGAGTATTCCCTCGCTAGTTGGCTTAAAGGCAGCGCCCACGTTCACTTGATGTTCCTACGCCCTTTCTGGATATCATAGCCCTCCCCATAAGGATGCAGTATGTACTAGTTTTGCATCTCACAAAGGCGAGAGGATAGCGCCTATCGCTAGTAAAGAGTCGACCGCCCCGCCCACCTGGCGACCACGACGCCCAACTTCATTTCTAATGGTTGCCTGATGGTGCGGTTGTTCCATTGCTGCTTCTCTCCACGTCGTGTGGTGAGAGTGAGGTGATAAGGGGAAACAGCTGAAATCAACAAGTGAGAACTCGTGCAACCACTCTCTTAAGCACGTACAACCGCTATTCGGTATGAAACTCCTTATAGGGCATTTTGCATGTTTTCTTTTTTTCTTCACTAATAGGTTTCTTGCTACCTTGCTATTACTACCTGAGCCGCATACTCATCAAATTTGAACGCGGGCGCTGCCTTTAACCAATATCAAGCCGGGGTCAACCAATCGCATCTTCGTGCTACTGTTGTGACTGATGCTTTGAACTAAAGCATATTAACGTTGATTGAATTCTGTTAGAGGAGGGGGGGGGGCTTGCTTGGACGCTGAAGAGGGAGGTCGCAAGTACAGGGAGTCGTTCAGCATCAAAGAGCGTAAAGGCGTCGACATCGCTGCTTCGGGGAATGGAGCCAGCTCATAGCATACAAAATATTAGAATGACGACTAGCAAAATTCGGTAAATACTTAGGTGACTAAAAAAGCACAAATAATTTCTTAGAGAGGTTGTCGACCTTTCCGAGCCCTACGAAAGCAGCTGCACACATAGAGAAAACTTGCTTACCTATTAGAAGTTGCACTTTCTACTGTCTCTTCGTAGAAGCGTAATGCATTTCCACATTCAGACGATCGGTCGATGACCGTCAAACTAATTTTCATCGAATTCAACAAGACTAATTGTTCTGGATACATACTGTGGTTCCTGAATATTTTGTACAACAGACAGAGATGGAGCCAATAACTATTGCGTAGCTAAGAATTTCTTTCATCGAAATTCCATCAAAAAATATCTCTGCCACAAGAACAAACTGTAGTGCTTTTTGGAGAGAGGCGAAATCCCGGTCTCTCCAAGAAGTACTCCGAGTTTAAGTTGCTTTTGCTTCTGTAAACAAGGGAAAGACTTATATGCAAAAAAATATATTTCTTGGTATAGACAATCACATGATCTTCCAGAGCATGAAAACTTGCATGTATTTCTTTCAAATATCCCATCAGAAAAAAGTGTTACCAGTTAAAAGATATTTCACGAATGGAGAAGATTCAAAGAAAATTAGTTACGCCTGCAAAATTACTGCCTAGTACTTTACATTGCTGTTTTTAATTACACAACCCTTCACGAATACTTCACTCCAAAGAAGAATGCCGTTGTCCAAAACGAGAGGGGGGCTTATCGCTGTCCACTGCGGTACTCCTCAGTTTGAATCAGCGCTTTACAGTGCCATTCAGTTGGGGAAGGAGGACGCGAAGGGGTGGGGGGGGGCGAGGTCGTTAATCGCAGCATTAGTGTTCGATGATTAACGATGTTTCCATCCGATTGAAAACGGAGTTACCCACGTGGAGTGGCCGAAAATGGTTTAATTGTCAAGCAAAACTTTTTCTCACTCAGGTTGGTGTCAAGGAGACTATAGAGATCATACTTGGACAACGATACGGTTGCTTTCACTATTAAGACGCACTACAAGACCATCACGATATGTCGACACAGAGTAAACATTTTTAGCGTTCTAAAATCACAGGACAAATAGGCACATCCAAAGGTTGGAAAAATCATTCTAGGTCAATGAAACCGATCCACAATCCATAGCTTCTTTGCATATTCATTCCAGCCCTTTATGTTCTTTTCCTGAGTAATGCCGCGTCGTTGTCGTCCGCTCTTTTAATGGCCGCAGTCACTTGATGCTTTCCAAGGTATCTCCTGCTGTGGCTTCGACTTCCGTGAGGTCCCTTGACTGAGTCCTTCCACTTTTTCACTGAGCTTTTGTAGTTTTTTGTCGTGCGCTTCAAAAACCAGCGGGATTCACATGGACGATATCGGGCCTTTTGAGATTACCTCCAGTCCTCTATTCCTTTACTTGACAAGTGTTGGCTGCCGGACTGCCGCCACGTCCTTGCATTTAAGCCACAGTTGCCCGCCTCAAAACAAGCGTAGTTTTGAAACTGAAAATCGAGACCTGACTTCCAATGCCAACTTATGTCGGGCATTCGTGACTGAATTTTATAGTGAAATGCTAGGGGGATTTATATACACTGATCTATACTTAGGTTGTCGCATAAGTTCTTATACACGACTTTTTTGTAAATATCTCAAAAACGAACCAGCCTGGAGATTAGAGGTATGCACCATCACCATTCACTACTCGACGCCAGCGCTCAGGCAGCTTGTCGATTCCATCCTTCCAGAACGACGGAGGCTGACGGTGACTGAGGAGAAGTCGTCGAGCGCCTTTCTGACCTGATCCTTTGTTTCGAACTTTTTTCCGTCCAGATAGCGCTGCAGGTGGCTGAACAGCCAGTAGTCAGAAGGAGCGAGGTCAGGGCTGTAGGGGCTGGGACGATCACATGCACTCACCGTACTTCTCCAGCTCGGCCTGGGTCGCCTTTGCAGTGTGAGGTCGGGCGTTGTCATGGTGGAAGTAGATTTCCGCATTCCTTCCACGAGTACGGTCGACGTGATCTTTCAATTTCCGCAGCTGGGTCACGTATGTGGAAGCGTCAATCGTCTTCCATTCTCCAGGCAGAATTCCACGTAACTCCATGCCTTTCTGACCACCAACAGGACAGGAGAACCTTTTTGGGGTGAAGGTCGGCCTTTGGGTGGCTTCTGGCTGTTCTCCTTTGTCGACCCACTGCCGCTTCCTCACAGGGTTATCGTAGAGGACCCACTTCTCATCTCCAGTGATCATCGAGTTGAGAAAGTGAAGCCTCTTTTGGAAAGTGAGGAGAGAAGTGCAGGTGGTCACCCTCCTCGAGAGGTCATAAGCGGACAGTTCATGGGACATATCGACCAAGCTTTGCAAACTTGCGTAGCTTTTTAGTCCTCGCCAACCGTCGAATGATCATAACGCTAAGCATTGGGCGCATTTCTCTGTGGTGAGAGTACGGGTCCTCCTCCAAGCCGGAACGTAGTACTTCCAAATCCAACTCCATCGGCCGACCCGACCTCGGAGCATCTTCGAGAGAAAAGTCTCCTTTCTTGAATTTGGCGAACCAATTCTTGCATGTCATGTAAGAGATGACGTCCTCACCGTATGTATCCACCAGCTCGGTATGCCTTCTCTTGCATTACACAGCCCGAAATCGTGGGGCCAAAACCAACAGCTGCGCAGGTAATTGTACACAGGTGCAAATTGCTGCGACATTTGTGTTCTGCAAACTGCTAAGCTCGGGACGTGAGTGATAGCTAGTGTAATGAAAGAGTATAATGTACACGTCACGCACACGTGATGACGTAATACCAACATCCATGCGAACGAAATAGGAGAGGATCAAACAGCGCTGTGTTATAAGAACTCATGCGACAACCTATAGCTGTTTTAACTGTCTGTGTGTAGAGACATCAGGCTTTGCAATAAGCGTCTTACTCACTTTTCCAAAATACTTGAGAGTTAGTAACGGTATAAAGCTCGAAAAGCAATGTCTGATGGTCAAGCAGAGTGTGACTGGGTTTCTGTAGCAGCTATACCGACCTCCTCTGAGTATCGGTGAATGTTCACAGACTGAACGGGAGATGAACGGGAACACTCTCATGTTAAACAAAGCAGAGCAGTCGAAATTAGGAATTATGTGACGCATTTTAGAACGGTTGTTCAAATGACTCTTCCCTGGCAAAGCTCTGGAAAACTTCGAAACCCCATCGCTTTTCCCAAAAGAGCATCTGATCCAAATAAGCTTCCCAGGGATCCAGTAATTTTCGGGAAATTTTCGTTTTTCCAGTTCCTTTAGCCGTATTCACAATTCTAAGTAATTCTTCATGGTTACTGCAATTCTGTACAGGTATTGCCTGAATCGCCAAATCTTTTTCGACAGACAAATCCGCCAAATGCTATCTCGACAAATCGGAAGCCTCTCAGCACGCGGTGTGGCCAATTGAAAATTATAGCTGAAACATTAAATATCTAAGAAAGAATCGCGATGAGAAAAATATTTTCGAGGGTTTAAACGATTGACAATTTTATGGAAACGGTATCGTGATGCCTGACAGCTGCAAGCTTAGGCGAATGCCTCATGAAAAAGATTGCATTAACGAAGTTCAACAACAAGACTCAACAGTTTGTCCTATTGATGATTTTGTGACGCCAACTGCGAGAATTGCGACTATTCGCTCAGTCTCATTATAGCGTATTATCCGGGCAACATTGCGATATCGATGAAAGTTAGACGTTGTGATCCACGATGGATAAGTTTGGGCCATGTTCTGTCCATCCAACATCACAACTTTAATTATACAACTGAAACCTGCAGAAATCCCGGCACTTCTGTGGGAAGTCTGTGAGTGAACCAGTGAACGTGAGTCTGGTGGAGTAAGTGTCCCTCCCCCGCTCTATCGCCGAGCTGAGGCCGCCTGTGGTCCTAAGGAAATGCTCTGACTTACATTAAAAGTGCATATTTCGGACCTTTAGCAATTGTTGTACGAAGGACAAGTGTAAAGAAATCATACCAAAGGACAGTGCCCGTAAGTCCCATAGCAGCAAATGTCGAACAAAGAATACAAGGAAGACAAAATTACTCTCCCACTGCATGAAAGTCACTTTATTAGACAGATTTTCCATCGCTGCTGATTTTTCGCGTATAAAGAGGGCTCCGCTCAAGTGACGTAAGACAGAAGCTCATTTACAAAAACAGGACACCGTCGTTAATCTTTCTCTGGAATTCCGCAATGAGGAGTATTTCATGAACTAGAAGCTCATTGCGGAGATAAGGTGACTCCCTCCGCGAGAGTAGAAGGAAGAACACTTAGATAAATTACCAAATAAGTATAAAAAGGATCGAAAATGAAAGTGCAGATGAGCCAACATAAAGTAAAAGATTCAAGGTTTGGCAAGGGGGGAGGCAGAAAACGCTTAACAGACCTGCAATGGCCGTAATCTTGCACGTGAATGCATTCCGTATGTGGTTTGCGTCATGCGTGGTGCAGCTCTGAGACGTGAACTGAGATAAACTGTCATCTACGCAGTATTAGCGAAAAGTTGTGTGCCTGCAGCTTTCATTTTTCTTTTCAAATGACGTAAGATACGAACGCAAGGATGAGTGACCGTTTTGATGACTTTCTAATGGTAGGAAACAGTGTAGTAGCAGTTGAGGAATTATGCACTTTTATTACGTAATTGATCGGAGTTTAGATGTGACTCCTTGTACTGCAACGACTCCCTTCAGCATAGGCCATCAGAAATTCCTGTCGTTGAGGATACGCACTGCACCACTCGTTCCACAGCGAGTCTGCGTTTGTGATAACCGCTCAGAATACGGCAGCAACCGGTGGTCTCATCGAGATGACACTTCACCTGACATAAATGATGGTTTACTTACTTGGCAATCATGTGTACTAATTTGATGTCTTAGTACTTTCAGTTTTTGGAACTCTATATTTGAATCAGAACATTCTCTAGTACGTCCACGAGCTAGACGTCAAATCGATACTCCCATCATGTGTTAACTTCGGATGTCTCTTCCTCACTCGGAGTCTTCAAAGCGAGACTTCACGACGGTTGCAGAAGATTGATGTTTGAAGTGGGGCGGCGGTCAAATGCGTGAAGTGAATATTCCGAGAAAAAACATTTCATGCTTTAGAACATGTGTCCTTCAGAATACAGTATATTCAACCGCCACGGCTGAAGTGAAGAGACCTTGATCCAGTGATTCTTGGGAATCACTTGGTTAGTTCAGTAAACAATGGATTTGCATCGCGCACGTGAGTTATCTTCTGCTACCTCACACGACACTGAATACATGCAGAAAGTTGAAGCAATCAGAGTCAACATGGCACCATTACGTCGCTGCGTTGTTTTACCGTTGCCGGCCTAGACCAACACTGTTTTTTATCCATATCGGGATAGCGAACAGGCAGGACTCTAAGAGAGTCAGTCGCAGGAGCCCACTGATACTTTGCTGAGTATTCTTGTACCGGATTTGTGCCCGGCAATTCAATCAAGTAGAACACCGACGGTGACATTTTCGTGAGCACACAAAGACAGTGTTCCGAAAATAATTTATTAACCAAATGCTTTACAGTGAAATAAACGACGGCAAAAAAGTGAACAGTAAAGTGAATGGTAAAGAATACTCGGGTGGTATCCAAAATAAGGGGGCGGGCGAAGAGGCAGCACCGCGTCTGGCGGCCCTCCCAAATCCGCATCGCGGAATGACGCAGCGCATCACATGAGTCCACAACTCTTATATACGTCCTAATTTCTGCCATGATCACGGCGCTTCCTAGGGCCTCTCAATGATCTGCCCTCCCACATGCCTCCCCCCCCCCCTCCGAAGCTGTTGCCCTCAGCAGTGGGAGCTTGTTCCTTTTGAGCTCGGGCAATGGCACCAAACCAACTACATTTTCCCTATACCCTCATAAAGTGCCTTAGCGCATGCCACGGTACAATCGGAGCTGTAAAAAGAAATGGCAGCCTTGAGGGCTCCGATCTCACGAAAAACCGTCCTATTCTCAATCTTGAGTTGGGAAGCCTTTAAAAATTAGTTCCTCCTCCGCCTTTTTTTCCAGGGCATTATCCATCAATTTCCAAATATCAGCCATTTTTTCCACAAGTCTAAATTTTTTGCGACCTCAGAGGGAGGCTGCAATTGAACGACCACCTCTCTCAAAATGCACTTGACTGACTTTAACTGTTTCCATTATCTCACCTTGTTTAAACTTCTCATTCATCGGTGACGATCACCCAAACGCATGTGTCTCGAACTCGTTGAGTACTTCTCTCAAACTGACACCGAAACTCACGGGTCACCCTACGTTGAAGAGATTCCTTCGTTTGGAACCGGCTTTCCAATAAGCGCAGCCACTTTCTGGTAGCTGCGAAGGCGTGCAGAGCCCGCGCATTGATGGTTTTTTGCCCTCTGTTCCCACTCAATTTCTTTTTTACCCTCTTCAGTGCCAAATCATAGGTCTTCTCGAATCCGTAGTTATCGATCTTCTCGTGCTTACTGATTTCTTCTGTGACACAAACAAATTCCGTCTAATTGAGACATTTTTCGTATGCCAGGCGAAGAACTTTCTGCAGTGCTTCCTCATCCAAACAGACTGCTCCGTCCTTCCAGAATTTTATATCTTCGAGGCCATGTCGATATCCGATCTGATGAAAATACTTGCTGCGCGCCATGCATTCCACAACGTTCCCATTGGTTTCTTCGCAAAAGCGCCCGGCAGCTGCAATCCACGGAGGTCCTTCTAACTTGACGTCCTTCAGACATCCATCCTTACACACGTATTCGAGATGTCCTTTTTCCAGCTTCGAAATTATGTGTGAGCCTGTGAAATAAAAAACTTTTTATTCTGTTGTCCTGAACTCTTGGATTTCTTCCTTTTCTACCCATACTTGTGACAGTATCTATTCGATCATCTGCAAGGGAATGGATGGAACACCCTTAGCGTTTCAAACTGTCGCTTTGAATGGGCCTCTGACTTTTTCCCCCATTTCTTGTACTTATTGCTGATTCACTCGTCTCAACAGCACTAAAGGGCCCAGCCCACTCACACGCAAGTTTTGGGTGGGAGCTCATTGCCTTCTCTCTTGGGGACAGCATACGGAGGGGGGGGGAGGCAAAAAAGTCACTTTTCTTCATTGACTTTCGAGGCGCCATAAGTTACACTTTATTAAATTCTGACCGGACATTTTTACCACCATATTAAAGAGCATATTGAATAATCTCGAATAAACACATTGATTACAATATGACTAGCTTAAAACAATACACATACCCTAAAAGTCGTGAGAGAATAAAAGCTACAAAATTCATAAATCACAGAAAAAAAAGAATAAAAAAAAAAAAAAAAAAAAAAAAAAAAAAAACTAAAAGCATATTAAATTATCATAACACTCCGCCACAGCCTTCTGGACGAGCGCCATCGAGAGATTCTGGCACGCGACCGCGATGTGGTGCCTGAGATCAGCGAGATAGTCGATTTCTCCGCCACCGTAGACCACCCTATTGAAATCCGCCCGAAAGGGGGTTTAGGTCAGGTGACCTACTTGGATATTCCATCTTCTTCAGCCCCTTCCATTCCAAGTAGGCGAGAGTTTCTCCAATGCCCTTCGATTCCATGTGGTGGCACCCAATGCTGTAGCAGTACAAAGTTTCCAAGAAGGTACGGGCGACGACATGTGAGGAGGATATTCTTCACGAGTTGCTCAATGTAACCGCCAGCGCTCACCTTCAGTCCGGGGTCCACGAAGAAAATATTGGTCTTTCCATTCCAGGTACGTCCGGTCCATACCATCAACCCGCGCCTTGGCGACTGTGGTGAAGATGATGTCCTAGACCGTGGCGACGAGCTGCTCGATGTTGGAGGTCATCCAGATCGAGAGTACTGGTCTCCAGGTAGCTATCCATGGGTGACTCCATACTAGAAGTTTCGCAGCTGTTTGGAGGTGACATGAATTCCAAAGGTCTTCTCCAGTCAGGCTGCGACTGGAGATGACTTCATATTTTGGTGTACATGAAGGTGATGGGCGAGAGCCAGCTCCTGCTTATAGAGGAACATCTTGGGTATCTTCCGCCCTGGTACTCGTATCCACGTCCTCTGTCTGGGCTGCGAAAACTTTGCTGATATGTGACTCGGTCGAAGTGACTTTTTTTGCCCCCCCCTCCTGTATACACGCGGTCACCCACTATCGCGAGCTTATTCACATCCACGTCATTTCTCTTATCATAGTCCTTCTTCATTTTCTCCCTTACACGCTCGTTATACTCCTTTATCCGGTCATGGACCTCCGCTACCGACTGCAACAATTGCACTTTGTAATCCTTCCTTATCCTTGTCCATCATATACCAAGACAGGCCTCCGTTTGGAATCACAGTTGAGGGCAAATCGGGGACCATGCAAAATAAAGTAAGGACTCTCTCCTGTCGCCTGGTGGGGATTCGTATTATAAGCGAACATACAGTATGG